TTAATGTTGCAGTTTAAAAACTGTAGTGTAAAGCACCCTTCTGGCAAGACAGTGATGGAGTGAATGATGGTGAAAGTTTTTCTTTTTCGAGCCACCCTGTCTTGGTGGAAATCGGCCAGTGTGATAATAATAATAAAAAAACCAAGGTATGGTTCTCTCATTGTTCTAACCACATCACCAGAGATGCCCAATAACTTCCTGGTATTTTGCAGTGTATAACTTCCAGTGTACACAATAATATCCAATACCAGACCACTGTAACAATCACAAAGCACAAACAACTTTATACCAAAGCATTTTCTCTTGCTTGGTATGTACTGCTTGAAAGAGAGTCTTCCTTTGAACAGAATCAAAGACTCGTCAATTACAAGCTTCCTGAAGGGATAAAAATACATATTGAATTTCTCTTTCAGATACACAAACACATTCCTAATCTTATATAACCTGTCGGTTCTGTCAGGCCTGGTTTTGTCTGAGAAGTGACGCATACGTAACAGTAGCACAAATCGATTCACTCCCATTATATCACTGAAACCTGGGGTTGCAATCAGGCGGTCTGTTGACCAGTATGATTTCACACTGTGCTTATACACATGTGGCATAAGCATTATTGTGGCAAAGAAAAGATACATCTCAGCCACAGTTGTCTCCTTCCACTGGTGTAGACGTGTTTGCCATGGTGTACTCGTAGTATCTGTTGCTTTCCCTGACAATAATTTCCATCAGGAGTTTATCAAAGAATAACTCGAAACATTCCAGTTCACTGGCATTGTTCCCCAGTGTACAACATGGCCGTATTCCACTTTGGCTTTCATCAAACTGGTGGGGATTTGGAACAAAATTGACAGCTTCCTGCCAATCCCAGGTGCGGTCTGCTGGTGGGTACTGGACATTGACAGGTGGTTGTGGAGGCTGGTGTGGTGGGTGGGTGGGGGATGGTGGCCTTTATTGTAGATCAGCTGAGGCAGCAGCGTGGGTGGCAGTGTGGGTGGCAGCATGGCCCACTGCTGGTGCCTCACGGCCGGCACCACCACTACCACTACCATGCACATTTTTCATCCCAATTGCAACACTATCATTGTCATTTTCACTGTCTGTTCCTGTTGTACAGTCACGGGACATACTCTGAGATGTACTCCTTCCCCTTGGAATATCATATGGCACACTACCAGAGCGCATATATCGCCGTATATGCTGAAGCTTCACTGGAGAATATTCCACTTCACTATCACTACAGGAACTGGTTTCAAGAGCTTGTAGTTCATATTCACTATTGCTATCATCACCAGTGCTCACATCTGAGTCCAGGATTTGGGAAAATAGGAGTTTCCTCTTTGATTCTGGTACAACTGAACATGAACAAGACGGCCCAGCAGCAGAGGTGGAAGGCTGAGGGTCGTCTGGGTTTTCCTCACTATTACCGATATTATGGTCATTAGTTTCGGTCACAACCTCACCAAAACCTTGAAACTCATCTTCACTGGCACTTCCATCTGTATTAGAACTGTATTAGAACTGGGGAACAAAAGTGTCCCAATTTGCCGAGGAGTGAGGAACTTCTTACCGCGAGGCATGGTGAACAAGGTCTGCTAAAATGGCGTTCCCACAATGCGCCACTGGGTCCCATATTTTTTTTCTACCACGCACACTGACCACACACACCCATTCTCTCACATCTAGGCCTACGAGCCTTTTCCCGTGAGATTTGAAGGTGCTAGAATTTATGCGTACTAGTACATCAAAAACCCTGGCGTGTAAGCCGTACTAGTACAGCTGGAACCCTGAAAGGGTTAAGGGCTTCTTCTCAAGTAGTTTGGTATTGCCAGAGGAGGGTCTCCAGTTAGACTGAAAATTTTCTTGCATTATTTCTGTACTGTTGAATGGGGGTTATTTAAATTAATACTGAAGGATTTTCTATTCCTGAATCTAGAGTATATTGCAGTCATTGTAATTCAGAATGGCATTATGCTAATAGTTAAGGAGAATATAAATACAGGTATGAATATTCTTAGAGATATGCTATATTTTGTTTTCTGTAGTAGATTCTGCTACACTATACACTAATTACTTCACCAAATAACCTGAAGTATTTATATAGTGTTTCTTGTGTATGATTGGAGGTAAGATTCATAACATAAATTTTGAACTTTAGATTTAGAGTCATCACTGATCTGGGAGACTGCTGAGGTAGCATTTTGTCAGTGGATGGTCAACATTGTACTGTTGACCGTAAGTTGGTCCTGCCTTTTGTAGCAGAGCAGCCATATCTTTGTTTTGATATATTATGTAACAATAATCTACTAAGAGCACCATCGGCATCAAGCAGCGAGTGTAGGATGCTACTAACCCCGTACTTACCGAGTGCCTCAAACACCTTTGCTGGCAAAGTATTTCTTGATAAACAACGAACTCTAAGTGTTTTTGTGGCTTCATAGTTTTGTTCAAGTAATACAGCAATACAAGAAAAAATCAACACAAATATATATCATCAAATATATATAACTGGTCATGAAAATGGCAGACCAACTGTGGTTACTGTAGCCAGGAGACCAATGTAGAGGTAGCCAGGAGACCAGTGTAGTGTTAGCAAGGAGACAAGTGTAGAGGTAGCCAAGAGACCAGTGTAATGCTAGCCAGGAGACCAGTGTAGTAGTAGCCAGGAGACCAGTGTCGAGGTAGCCAGGAGACCAGTGTAATGCTAGCCAGGAGATCAGTGTAATAGTAGCCAGGAGACCAGTGTCGAGGTAGCCAGGAAACCAGTTTAGTCATAGCCAGGAAACCAGTGTAGTGGTAGCCAGGAGACCAGCAAAGTTGTAGCCAGACCATTTTTTAATTAATTTTGGGACAGTAATGCTACTAATGTAATGTAACTAAAAATCATTATTATAGCTCTTAAGTTTTCCAGTGGTGTGACATTTCAGTACGGGTGGAAACATTAGGACATGTTTCCTTAAGACACCTGCTGTCCATGTTCACCTAACAGTAAAACAGGTACCTGAGTGTTAGTTGACTGGGGACAGAATTGACCAAATTTGCTCGAAATGGTCTGCAAAACAAGGGATTTCTACATAATACTACGTAGTAGGTCATTGATGCCAGCTAGGCTCTTATACCTTGTACATATACTTATGGAAATAGATTGTTATTATTATTATTATTATTATTACATATTATAATGTGACCCAACTGCAGAGACCACTAAACCATGAGGCTTCAGTAATGAGTTCTGAAACATTTTGTCATCTTAAGTACAGAGAATCATAATGCTAACTATAATGATTCTACAGTATTCATGGCATGCAACAACAAGCAGCAGGAGGGGACTAAGAAATTGGTGATAATTATTCATGTTTCTAATTCCAGTACAACTTAGGATGAGAATGTTGAGCCTTTATTGAATACGTTTCTTCTTGAATTTGAAAAACTGTTAAGGAAGACAATTGACCAACAAAAAAGCAAAGCTGAAGACTCTTTTAATGTTAGAGCACCCATTCCTTATTAATCTGATTAACTTATTTGGATATAAAAAGTGTGGAATTGTACTTGATTAACTTGAGTCAGCAAAAACAACAATTTGGCTAGCTTGAGAATAGGCTAGACAAATTATGAGTTAGGTTGAGTTAGATTGGGACCAGCCTGGTGTGGGTTAATGTGTTTCCTATGTCGTGTGCACCTGACATGTTTGTATATTAAGTGCTTCCATCCTCCCATCTGGTACAGCATTAAATGAGTAGGGTCTCTTGTTAGACTGAAGGTATTCCCTTATTTCTGTACTGTTGAATGTAGGTTTTCATATGTATTACCCATACAGAAAGTGTATGGGTCTCTATAGAAAGTTAGTAAACTTTCTTAATTTTTTCTTCCTATATTAGAACCTGTGATAACTAATGAATATGCAGTTAAAGAATACATATACCTACATACATACATATGATATATATATATATATATATATATATATATATATATATATATATATATATATATATATATACACATAATGTATATGTCATGCCGAATAGGTAAAACTGGTCAATTAGCAAAAACTCATTTAAAATTAAGTCCTTTCTAAAATTTTCTGTTATACATTTAAAGATATATTTTTTCATTTATGTTAATATAAAAATTAATAATTTGTACCAAAAGAACCTTAGAAAACCTGCCTAACTTTATTATAACAAATGCAATTTAATTTAGCCTAATCCAGCGAAATATATTTTAGATAAGTTTACAACAATTTAATAATAAACAAACACAGTGAAATATATTTTTTTTGTTAGGTTCAAAATGAATTTTGCGAAATTATTGTATACGCAAATTTTTGCTTGTCTTATTTGGCAAGAAGAGTGCTGCGATTTAAGTCAAAATCACAAATTTTACCTATTTGGCATGACATATATATATACTATATGCATACATATACAAACATATATGTACTTACATCCATGCATATACAGCCTCTCCTCACTTAGTGATGTATACTTGTTTACCGACAACTTGGACTTACGACGGGCTCTCTGACCAATATGCATACCTAAATAATGTATGCAGTATTAGAGCTGATTTCCTCTATTCTGTTTATTACAATATACAGGACACTACTGTATAAACATGTAAAAATATGCTAAAAATGTTATATATGGTGCAAAGGTGACATTAAAACAATTAAAACAATATAAAAAATGGTTGACACAAACCCACTACCATTATAGTATGCTCCTTCCTTAGCAACGAATTCGTTAACCGATGTGGTCTTACGAACGGAACTCCATTGTTAAGTGAGGAGAGGACACACACACACACACACACAGGCATGCACGCACGCACGCGCGCGCACACACACACACACACACTCACGCACACTCACATACATACATACATACATACATACATACATACATACATACATACATACATATATATACATTCATTCATTTGTTATTTATTTATTTATTGTTTGCAAATATAGATTAAATGTTCTTTGTTGACTTCCATACTAGGAGCGGGGTGTGAGCGGTCCAATCAGTGCATCACAGGCACCATTGTTGGCAATACAGGTTTTACACTCCTCTTTTTTTTTGTAAATTGTATACTCCTAACATAGCACTATGCAGATTAGGACAGGTGATCAGGTGGTTGTGGGAAGGAATGCTCTTAGTGGAAGTGATAATTAAATTAAAATGTATAAAAGATAAATAAATTATATACATGAGTGTATATATATATATATATATATATATATATATATATATATATATATATATATATAATATATATATATATATATATATATAAATAATATATATATTACATGCACACAACACTGTATATATATATATATATATATACTGTATATATATATATACATATATATACATGTATATCCACATATATACAGTGGAACCTCGGCTTACGAATGCCCCACCATATGAATTTTTCAGGATACGAACCATCATTCGATCAAGTTTTTGTTTCTGGATATGAATGAAATTTCAGGATGCGAACTTTCCCCTCAAGGGAGGTTCCTTAAATAAATAAATAAATAAAATATTTATTTCTTTGCAAAGGTTACAGTATGTGTTTACATATAATATGATTGGAGCAAAGAAAGCCACTATCATGCCAAGGCATTTTGGGCAGACTTAACGTAATGCTAATAGACTACTAAGTCTAGACAGGTGAAAAGTGTACTAGTAGTGGTTACCACCACTGTGGACGCCGCCACCACCACCACCACCACCACCACCACCACCACCACTGTGGCCACAGTGATCATGTCTTCACCTATATATACATCTGTCTTGACCACACCTGTGGTTACATATGTGACAACCTCATCACTAATAATAGATAAACACAAGCTAGGTGTAGGGTTATGGACTGGGAAGATACTAGAGTGGGAGAGTAAATGGCAGATGCTTTCTGCCGCTGCTGGCATCGCCATCACTTGCTATATTATGGCCTATTTTATTCATTCTAGAGTATATATCATGTTTCTATGTTATTAATATTGTTTATTATATCATTTTAGATGAATTGTGATAGATAACTAAGCTGTAGAGTGGATATTAGCATTATTTTGTCATGCTTCCTGAGAGGCTGGAACAGATTATTTGCATTTCAATTAATTTAAGTTAGGAAAATTGACTCAGTATACGAACAAATCAGTATACGAACAAGGCCACTGAACGGATTAAATTCATAAACCAAGGTTCCAATATGTGTGTGTGTGTGTGTATATACATATAGTATAACTTTCTTTCAACGCACCAGCCGTATCCCACTGGGGTGGGGTGGCCCAGAAGGACAAACGAAAGTTTCTCCTTTTAAATTTAGTAATATATACAGGAGAAGGGGTTACTAGCCCCTTGCTCCCGGCATTTTAGTTGCCTCTTATGACACGCATGGCTTACGGAGGAAGAATTCTGTTCCACTTCCCCATGGAAATAAGAGGAAATAAACAAGAACAAGAACTAGAAAGAAAATAGAAGAAAACCCAGAGGGGTATGTATATATATGCTTGTACATGTATGTGTAGTGTGACCTAAGTATAAATAGAAGTAGCAAGACGTACCTGAAATCTTGCATGTTTATGAGACAGAAAAAGGGACACCAGCAATCCTACCATCATGTAAAACAATTACAGGCTTTTGTTTTACACTCACTTGGCAGAACGGTAGTACCTCCCTGGGCAGTCCTGCCAAGTGAGTGTAAAACAAAAGCCTGTAATTGTTTTACATGATGGTAGGATTGCTGGTGTCTTTTTTCTGTCTCTTAAACATGCAAGATTTCAGGTACGTCCTGCTACTTCTACTTACACTTAGGTTACACTACACATACATGTACAAGCATATATATATATACACACCCCTCTGGGTTTTCTTCTATTTTCTTTCTAGTTCTTGCTCTTGTTTAATTTCCTCTTATCTCCATGGGGAAGTGGGACAGAATTCTTCCTCCGTAAGCCATGCGTGTTGTAAGAGGCGACTAAAATGCCGGGAGCAAGGGGCTAGTAACCCCTTCTCCTGTATGTATTACTAAATATAAAAGGAGAAAGTTTCTTTTCTCCTTTTGGACCACCCCGCCTCGGTGGGATACGGCCTGTGTGTTGAAAGAAAGAATGTATATATATATAGACATGTATGTATGTATGTGTTATATATATATATTATATATATATATATATATAATATATATATATATATATTTATATATATATTATATATATATATATTATATATATATATATTTATATATATTTTATATATTATATATATTTAATATATATTTTATATATATATTTTATATATATTTTATATATTATATATATATATATTTATATATATATTTATATATATATATATATATATATATATATATATTATATTATATATATATATATATATATATATATATATATATTATATATATATATATATATATATATATATTTATATATATATATATATATATTTATATATATTATATATTATATATATTATATATATATATATATATATATATATATTATATTATATATATTATATATATATTTATATATATTTATATATATATTATATATATTTATATATATATATTTAATATATATATTTATATTAATATTAATTAATATTTATATATATATTTTATGGACTATATTAATATATATAGTTAATATCTGTGATATCAATATTATATACTATTATGCACTTCTGTTGAATTAATATGTTGTTTGACTCATATAAGTTGTATATTCATTTTAACGACTAACTTTATGTAAAATTAGACAATGCTTATGGTGACAGCAAAACATAACCGTGTGCTGCACTTGCTGTTGGCATTATTTTGCTTGTTTGTATCACTATGGTCAAGAAGGGTTTGGCATCATATTTTAAGACTATACTTTATGTAAAATACTTAGCATATCCATACTTAACTATGCACAAAATAACTGCACCATTTCTGTATGCTGAATACTTTTGTTTGATTTGCATCCTTCTGACCAACTTAGGTGTACACACAAATGCTTAGAACTGTTGGACAATAATATAAAGGCACTAATGCTCTGTGGAATCAGTCAAAAAACCTCTACAGAGACTGGACACTTTCATGATGCATTTCAGTCCGTACTATTTGACCAATGGCTAGTCACGACAGAAGTGCGAAGGGAAGGGAGCCAGAATACATATGAGAGGGGGACAGACTAATACTCTTCGTAGAAATCTAGTTCATATCTCTTCACTACCACCGATGCTACTGGATTCTTCTCCATTTCCTGCTATTGTCCTCTCCAATACTTTTTAGAAACTGGCTGCTCCCTGACAGACTTAGGAACGTACAAGAAATGTTAGCCTTTTGGACACTAATAATGCTCTTTTATGTCTTGTTAGAGATCATGGTTATCCTATTAACTGGTCCTCTGCCAAAACTGTGCACACTTCTAGTCTTCACAGATGCCATCTTGTTGAAGCATCCCTGATGTAAAACTTTCCTAATATGAATCTTAGTCCTGGCTTTGTCTCTGTAGATGTATTCCTCCCTCATTACATTGTCAAATGCTTCATACTTCAGAACACTCATAACCTGACTTGATTTTTATCTCCCAATCTCCTTACCTCTTTTCCTTTCCTATATTTTCATTGCCTTACTTATCTTCTGCCTAGGTTGGTTCTGTGCCTGTGGGCTTTTGTGCCATTGGGATCTGGTCCTACCCTTATGGGCCATTAGCTCTTCTGCAGTGCTCCTCTTTTATCTTGCTCTTAGACTGCCTACACTATTACTAATACTACTATTACTACTATCTCTTCACTAAGTCTCCACCCTCTGACCCCTTTTTTTTTTCGTTACCACTACTACCTTTTTATTGCCACCTCTACCACTATTTAACTAATTTTTCTAATACTACTACCACCACTGCTACTATCACTAAAATAATATTCCCTCCTCTCATTATTCTACTCCTGTTTCTGCCTTCCTGTAGTATATATTCTGGTTCCCTTCCCTTCACGCTTGTGTGTGACTAGTTAACCCTTTTAGGGTCCATGCCGTAGTTCTACAGCTTTGAGTTCTGGGTTCAAACCGTAGTTCTATGCCATGAGCTCAGTTCATTCACATAAGCTGTGAGCGGTAAATTTGGGCCTAGATATGAGAGAATACATCTATGTGGTAAGTGTGCACCACATAAAACAAATCTTGCAGCACACAGTGCATAATGAGACAGAATGTAGGATTGCGGATGAGCAAGGAGGTTTCAGAGTGGGTAGGGGATGTGTAGATCAAGTGTTTACATTGAAGCATATATGTGAACAGTATTTAGATAAAGGTAGGGAAGTTTTTATTGCATTTATGGATTTAGAAAAGGCATATGATAGAGTGGATAGAGGAGCAATGTGGCAGATGTTGCAAGTATATGGAATAGGTGGTAAGTTATTAAATGCTGTAAAGAGTTTTTATGAGGATAGTGAGGCTCAGGTTAGGGTGTGTAGAAGAGAGGGAGACTACTTCCCGGTAAAAGTAGGTCTTAGACAGGGATGTGTAATGTCACCATGGTTGTTTAATATATTTATAGATGGGGTTGTAAAGGAAGTAAATGCTAGGGTGTTCGGGAGAGGGGTGGGATTAAATTTTGGGGAATCAAATTCAAAATGGGAATTGACACAGTTACTTTTTGCTGATGATACTGTGCTTATGGGAGATTCTAAAGAAAAATTGCAAAGGTTAGTGGATGAGTTTGAGAATGTGTGTAAAGGTAGAAGGTTGAAAGTGAACATAGAAAAGAGTAAGGTGATGAGGGTATCAAATGATTTAGATAAAGAAAAATTGGATATCAAATTGGGGAGGAGGAGTATGGAAGATGTGAATGTTTTCAGATACTTGGGAGTTGACGTGTCGGCGGATGGATTTATGAAGGATGAGGTTAATCATAGAATTGATGAGGGAAAAAAGGTGAGTGGTGCGTTGAGGTATATGTGGAGTCAAAAAACGTTATCTATGGAGGCAAAGAAGGGAATGTATGAAAGTATAGTAGTACCAACACACTTATATGGGTGTGAAGCTT